GTTTTAAAGTCGTGCAATGTCTAAGTTAAGCAGGAACACATCATTATATCTCATTATTTATTTATTTATTTTAAATTTTAAAAATCGTTTGCCCAGCCTATTAATAGCTTGCATACGTAGGATTAATTAGTTGTCCTCCTGCTGCAATATACTGTAACGAGGTGTGTGGTTCATTATTTACCCTGGCACCTGTATGCTGAGAGGACTGGCATCAGAGTGCCCATCCTTACTAACTTACTACCTTACTAGGTAGGTGCTAAAGCAGCTGTGAACACGTGTGTCTTTTTTAATTAGCTTGTGTCTGTGATCTGTCTTCTTTAATCCTAACAGGGCACGCCAGGCCGAGATGGTTACCCGGTAAATATTTTATTTTGATACAATTATTATTTCTTCAGTCACCTCTTTCCATGCTGCTTTCTCTTCCTGTGTCCTCTTTGGTTTACCTTTGTATCTTCTAGAGCTCTTATTGTCCTCCTTCTCTCCCCTTTCAGTTTCTGTTTGCACGTGTAGTGAAATAACAATAAACACTGCACTATTTAAAGATGCTGAGCCTCATATATGATATAGTTAATCAGTCCCATGACTCACTCCATGCCATTATATATTTTAAATGTACTTAAATTAGTTATGTTCAGAGAAACTTATGGCAATTATTCTAATTGAAATTGTTTGTGGACATCATGGTAAATGACAGTAGCAACCTGTACGTCAGCAGTAAACACAAATCTTACTGTTTTTTTGTGTCCCCATAGCAAGGAGTAAACCCTTTTTAATCCTAGTCCTGCTGAGGTACACTTGTGTGTGGTGGATTTGACACAGGGACAGACACTGCATTGAAAGGGGGGTGGTTTCTAGGTCTAGATAAAGCACTGGCACAACAGCTGGAATAAGTAGATACATTAGTCTAATTAAACCAGTAATGAGTTGATTTAGGTCATTAAGAGATTAACTGGAAGGAAAACACCAGTCCCAAGAACCAGGATTTGACAACTCGGGCTCATCTTCTTCTCTCAATCTGCAAACATCACATTAGTGATTGCCTTCCTTTAACTGAAAGTATAGTTTTTAGACTATAGTTTAATTTATATTTTAGTTATTTAGTTTGTTTTTGCTTGTCTAGAAGAAGATTTTTTCCCCTTCGTGTTACTGCTGACAGTGTGTTTTTGGAACAGAATATTCAGAAATCAAGCTGTATTTGAGCTTAAAGTCAAATACATTATTTGTATTTGAGTTTAAAGTCATTAAAGAAATGGGGTTTTTAAGTGTGAAGCTGCCATGAGCATCTCAGGCAGATGGGAACACTCTAAAGAGAAATCACACAAATAGTTTTGCCTTCCAGTAAATAGAGCTCAGCCTGTATATACTCCAAAGCATATTTTTATTTATGCTGCCCAAAGGATGGACCATTGGGCAGCGTAAATAAATAAAAACCAAAAGGAAAGCTGCCATAATATTTACGGTTCAAACTATTGTTTCTTTTACTTCTTGGACCTTTGGCCTCTGAAGTACTGTGCTGTTGCTTTCCCATCATGCTATAATAGCATTATCAGGCAGTTAAACTGTCTAAGCTCTGGGTCTTTGGGTTGTCCTACATGCAACCAAGCTCCATAATGGTCAGAATCAGTTTTTGCTTCACGTGGACCCTAAAACATATTCCATCTAAATTAGAAATTGTCTGATGTTAACTTTATTCCTGCTATTTTTTTAAAAAAGAGGTGCATTTATTTATTGTAGTTTTTTGTGGAGCTACTAAATTATGAGTTCTTAGCCCAGGTCCTGTGGAGTGTTATGTCTACTGTTTTTTTTTTTCAATGGGCACTTAAGCACCAGTGTTAATTGATATATGTAATTGATCTGCTTACTTGTTTAGACTTTTTCAACACTCAGTCCCTGTTTTCAAAAGCACACAAGTTAAAGTACATTGTTTACAGCTGTGTCAGCATGATGAACTTTATACCATATCTCTTCAGCTTGCTCATTTAAGTATTTGTAAACTTATTTATTCATGTTCAGAGCTAAATAGTTCTTATGAGCAGACACAGATAGGAATGACAGTGTATTCAACAATCCCACAAGGATAGTGTGTTGTTTGCTTATACTGTATCTACAGAAGTTAGGAGAGTTCTGAAACTGTGGAGTTGGCAGAGGATTGATACCAATTGCAAATCCCAAACAACTTTGTTAAAAAAAATAAAATAGAAAATTGAAATCAATTAGTCTGCAATTAAGAATCAAGCTATAGCAAAATCTAGCAATAGCAACCCTGGTCGTGGGGGAGAGAATGTTCCCCCAGGACCGTAGTTGAGAACCACAGATCTAAACAATAATATGTTATCTACTGTATGTACTCCAATCCATTTAGTGTTATAAATGTAGATTCAGTCAGCACAGGCACAAATAAAAGAAGTATTTAATAATGGTTTAGTACGGCAAAGTTTCATATTGAAAAAAATCAAAAGATCACCTTTAATAATATCAGTTTTGATTTTACACAGTATCCTTAAACTATCATAGAGGGCCCTCTGGTGGTTAGTAAGGAAGCAATACCATTGATGTGTGTTCTGTAATACAGAAACTAGAGACAAGACTGTCTTAAGCTTTTGTCTTTTGTGTGTCCATTAGAAGACTTCTTACCAGTGATAATCCTAAACAAAAAATATGTGAAAGCAAAGTTGTTTGTTTCTCTGGAAACATTGATGAAGAGCTGAAATCTCTTATTCTAATGTATACATTTATATTAATATAATAATAATAATAATAATAATAATAATAATATATCTAAAACACATAACCACTTTTTCTTAGTTCTGAACTATAGAGCACCTAAACTTGGAGAGCTTTTTTGTCTGTGAAATGTCTTATTGCCTTTTAGAACCTCGAGATGTTTTGCCAGCTTTTATTAAATGAGTCAGTACAGTGTAATTAATTATACTGTATTTGTTCAGTGTGTATAGCAAGAACACTGTTATGTTAGTGATGATTTTAACATTAATCATCCATTAGTTTTGCTAATACAGACCTTCAGGAGCTATGTTAAAAATCTAATGGAGAACCAAATCTTAATATTATATTGTATCAATTATTATTTTTAATTATTATTGTATCAAATATTAAGTTTTCTAAAAACTGCAAATCTTGATTCACTGGCAATTTCTTTAGCCAATTAGCTTACCCTGTGTTACACTCCATTTCTGGATTTGTAGTTAATAATTAACGGGAAATGCCTTCAGTTAATTAGTAGCAGGTGGTCTTTTGTAAGTTATTTATAGTAGTGCTTCCCGGTCTGTTTAGCAGCAATTTCCTGCAACCCAGAGGGAGGTAGAAAAGGTCTTAATCCAATTGCTTCAGATGGAAATAGACTATGGGGTGTGCAGTTTGCATATAGAGGAAGTGACATTAGCCCTAGCTACCCAGCTTAAGCTTCTCAGCTTAAAGCCAACGCTAGATTTGCACTCGAACCAGGGTAATATTATGCCTACTGCCTGCTTTTTCTACCCAGATACACTTTTTCAAACCATCATTCCTTTTTTATTAAACAAGTTCCATAAAATTGTTTTACCTCACATTTTACAGCATGTGAGAAATAATTTTTCATGTCACTCATAGCATGTCACTTTCCTGTTGCTCTGCCTCTCCATCCAGCTGTCTGGTTGTTCCAAAATGAACTGTTGTCATGGATTCTCACCTGGATGCTCTTTTTATCTAGTTACCTTTTCCCAGGCTCATTAACATGAATTGTGAGGAAGTGAGATCATCCCACGTTGATGTGCAGCATCATATTGGAGTAGACAGTCGATGAAGCCCCACTTGGTTAGTCTAGGCTGCTGCTCACAGAGTGATCTTCACATTAATGAGTCAGAAAGCAGCCAAGCACACTCTGGTGAATGTCATAGATTGGCTGGACAGGCCCATCAGTGTACTGAGTCAGTAGTTTCCCTCTTCTACAATGTCAAAACAGAAGCAGTGATTAATGAACACCAGAGCTTTTAAATTAATTCAAGGAAAGGTTCTCTTCAGAAGAAAAAAAAATGTAACTTTGCAAATTGCTGGTTATATGAATTTATGTTTAAGGAGTGACACAGTGGAAGGAATCTTCTGTTCACCACTAGAGGGCCCCTCACACCACCAAGGCAGCTCTCAAAATTGTTTCTCTCCCTGATTGTCGGGTGAGAATGTGTATCATCAGCACCACCTGAGTTCCTAATTAAGTACCCTATATTACATTATCACATGACTAGCTCTAGCTGCCATTAGTGAAGTATTTGAGCGACTACACATTGGCTCTCTACCTTCTCTCAAGGTATTGACCCTCTAGCTCAGTGGTTCTCAACCTTTTTATCAACTGGGCTGCAACTGTGACTAAAAGAAGTCTCGCATGACGCATATATTGATCACTACAAGGCCTGCCTTATCTGCATGCACAATAGCTATTATAATATATAATATATAATGTATAATGTATTATATAATATACACAGTATAATATTATAATAGTAATACAGTATTAATATCATAGGTATTAACCATGTGTGTATATATAAGCAAAGTGCTTCTGAAGTTGCACAGCTGATGAAGGACTTCCGTCCAAAACGTCCTGTTTCTCAAGCAACCTTGTGTACTACACTATAACTTTTCCAACCTCTATATATACTTCACCATCACTGAAAGATTTGCCATGTTTAGCGAGTAGCCATGAAATTTTGAACGTGGCCTGGGACGCTTTCAAAGTAGTTTGCATGATTTTCTACATGCAGTTTGTTCTAGATTACTTATCTTGAGAGACCTGTCACTTGAATCAGGTGGATATTGCTATCACAATTCTTGTGAGTAGTATCAAAATGTCTTTTTACATTGTACATTTTGCAAGCACCAATAATTTTACTACCAAGCAAACATAAAGGCAGCCCATCTCTATCAATCACGACAAATTGGCTCCTCTATTCTTCCAGTACTTTCCTACCTTCATCACTGATGCTCTGATTCTTTTTTCTGTTTGCACGTTTTCATGGTCTGTATTTGTTGAGTTGACATTTTCTTCCTTGGGCCTATGCTGTTTTTCACCCCTTACATGAACATCCATTTGTATTAAATAGCAGGCTTCTAGACTAGGCAATCCTGCTGTAGCATGCTATTCTTTGCACTAAGATGTATGACGGGCGTGACAGTGAAGGCAATATGAACTTGTGTTCTAGTGACGCACATTACAGCACTTTAATTAAATTAAATATCACTAGCGAATTTATTCAGAAACAGTTTTACATAACTAGTTTTTTTCTTATTTTTTATTTTTACCTATTTTTTATTTTTTTATCAAAGGAATCGACTGCAAACAAATGTAATTTATTAAAAAGGGGTCA